TATATATATATATATATATGTATATATATCCCAACTTTTATCCCAGAGCCATACGTGAACGATATATATATATATATCCATCCACCCAGCCACTAATCTGGGGTTGGGTCCCAGGGGCAGCAGTCTAAGCATGCTCGAAACACCTCCCCAGGGAGCCACCCAGGACGAATCCTAGATAGATGCCCGAACCACCTCAACTGGCTCCTTTCAATGCGGAGGAGCAGCAGCTCTACTTCGAGCCCCTCCCAATTGTCCGAGCTCCTCACCCTATCTCTAAGACTGAGCCCAGCCACTCATTTCTACTACTTGTACCTGCAATCTTATTCTTTCTTACTTGATCACCTTCCAGATCAGTTCCCTCTTCACCACAACAGAACAGTACAGTGTCCGCATTCCTGCTGATGCTGTGCCGATCCATCTGTCGATCTCCCTCTTCCTTCTTCCCTCACTCATGAAGAAATGTATATAAATATATATAATGTACAATATTTTTTCTTACCTGCATCCCAATAATTGCATATATAAAGAATAGCATGGCGATCAGCAGACATACATAAGGAAGAGCCTGAAAGAAACAGAAAATCAGACTGATCAATTTTCTGCAGTGTCTGACTGTGATTCATCTTGATGGGTACTGTAGGTAAGCCAGGACAGCTGACCTTGAAAGACTGTACAAAGGTCCAGAGGAGGATGCGGATGGTGTATCCCTGTCTCAGGAGCTTGATCAACCTGGCTGCCCGGAAAAGCTTCAAGAAGCTCATGTTGATGGTGTTCACTGACTGCAGGAAGAGTGTGGAAGAGGATCAGGACCATTGCCACACGGTACACTGGTAGCTCAGCGGCGGACAGAGGTTTCAGAGGTTTATCAACACTACCCAGAAAAGCATTGGATGCACATTGCCCTCTCTGGGGGACTCCATTCAGCTCCTGCTGCCTCAGTAAAGCAATAAACATATTAATGGATCCCTCCCTCCTGGACATCATCTGTTTGAATTGATGCCCTCTGGCAGATGGTTCAAGTCCTCCACTGCATGGAGAGACTACAGAACAAGTTTTATCCCAGAGCCATACGTGAACTGAACAGTGTGAAATTATGTCGCTGACCTGTAGGTCTATAGCTCAGGTGTCAGACTCCAGTCCTGGGGGGCCGGAGCCCTACACATTTTTGGGTTTCCCCTCGTTTAAGCTAATTACCACACAGCTGTTGAGCTGAATCATTTGTGGTGGAACAGGGAAAGACCCAAGCTACACAGGGCTGCGGCCCCCCAGGACTGCAGTTTGACACCCCTGGTCTATAGCATCCTTAGCAACCGCAGTGCAATAGCTCAACTATCTATGGTACTTCATGCCCATACATGGTTTATTGTGCTATGTTATGTCTTGTGAGAGTCCTATGTCAGTTAGTATTCCTATGCCAATTTTTGTCACTCAGTCACTTTAAAAGAATACTGTAAATGTTTACATTCAACTACACTTTCTCGTACACTGGTGATTCCATTTACTGTACCTTGTACTCATCTATTTATGGTATCACATGTTCATATAGGGTTTATGGTCTTATAATGTTATGTCCTGTGAGTACACTACACTGTAGTTACACCTCAGTTTACATTTCAATTATTTGTTATGTGTGAATGCACTGTTTGTGACTGCTGCACATTTCGCTGTACTTTATACCATGACAATAATCCAATCCAATTCAATCTGGACATGGAGAAGAGAGAAACAGGCCCTGCATGAAAAATGTGCATCTCGATCATGGTTTTGCTGGGTTCCACTAAAGCTATATGCTATATAAAACACTGTCAAACATTGTTTAAGCTATTTGGGAAAAAACATAATATTGCCACCCTGCACATTTAGACATAATTTTAAAATATTTATTCTTAGCGATTTCCACAGAAAATACAGTAATTTGGTAAAAAAAATCCACACTGCATATATGAATGCTTAGAATGACATATTTAACAATCTTACCTGCAAGTCAACAACAATTTCCGTGATGCTGCCCAGGACTGTGATAAAGTCAAAAATGTTCCAAGTGTCTCGAAAGTAGTTCTGTAAGAGGTGGGAGATGTTTACACCACAGCGGTAAAACATTACACATCTGTTTGCACAGAATCTCACTAAAATTAATTATAAGTACTATTTATTTAAAATTAATTATAAGTACTTTCCCCAGGGTTTCATTAAAAGCATTATTGCATGGGCATCAATTTTCAACTCTTCATAAGAGATTCATAATTCACATTTAGGGCAAGACCCGTCAAATTCTTTTATATAACTTAACTGAAAATAGTTTTGTAAAACTTTAATTTGCAAATTCGATATGCGCACAGGTACATTTACATGGCATTTATCTAGCAGACACCTTTATCCAAGGTGACAATCAGCTGAGAAAGCAGGGCTCAACAGCAATATCAATTGCTAATCACAGGATCTGAACCAACAACCTTCTGATCCCAGGCTCAGAGTACTAACACAGAGCTGCATATTCCCCCTAATTATACTTAAGGTTCTAGCTAAAGTTTGGACAGTTATGTGTCCCAGGGGTGTTGCTGAAGATTTTGGGCCCCATGAAAGCATACCATATTTGGCCTGTCAGTCCAGACCAATCCAGTTACTTTCCAAATTTTTTAGGGCCCCTGAGTGACAGGGGCCCTTGAAATCATGCTAACTACCCCCCCTTTACGACGCCCTTGATGTGTCCCACTCTGAAAAAATTCTTGCTCACCAATAAGCCAAAAGCCATAATTTTCAGGATGCACTCCAGGGAAAAGAGTCCAGTGAAGGCAGTGTTCAGGTGCTTCAAGACCGTGTCGTATGCTGCTGGTGCTGAGTAGTACTGTATGCAAGACGTTAGGGGGCAGCCAAAAATACAGAAATATCATACTTTTGTTAAACTGAAAGACTGGGACACAGATGCATCACAAATGCATGTCATGTAAGAGGTTGTATGTTAGAGGGCACAGAGGCAGATGAGAGGCGTAGGGCAGGATGGTTTTATTCAAAAAAGACCTAAAGACATAAAAACAAAAAAGACATAAAAACAAAATGCTCAATGGCGACCACCATCCTGCAAAATACCTTCAGGCCCAGTTAAAATCGTGCCCCTGTTATGTGCGTGTTTCTGTGGTTACATGTTCACCCTGTGCTCGCAAGGAGTTCCTTCCATAATCTGAACACAAGCAAGTGGATGAATTAATTGTATGTTAAGATGTGCACTTTGAAGGATGGGTCCATGCTTTGGCTTCCTCACCATAAGCTAGTACTGAACAAGTGGTTTCATGATGGATGGGTAGTCACATTACTCCCAGATTAGTTATTAAACATTAGTTAAAATAGTTCTTATGCATGGTAAACAATGATTTGAACAATCTGCATTTCACTGGGACATGATACAGTACACAATTAAGTCCAGCTAATAAATGCCAAAATCTGCTAGAATAAATTTTAAATATGAAGTATAACGATGAATCTTCAAACTAAAATACAATACCTTCATCATGAGAACAACGGTGTTGAGGGCGATCATGGTGAGCACTGTGTACTCAAAAGAAGGTGAGACCACAAAGTGCCACAGGCGATACTGGAGTGTCTGTCTGTTTTGGGGCATGTAGCGAGTGAGGGGTTTAGCACTGATGGCAAAATCTATGCATGCCCTCTGAGAGAAAGGAGCAAAACACAGTGAGACCAGCATAAGAACATATGACAGGATAATAAAGAGGTAGAACACAGATCAGTGTGTCAGTATAATCACAGCTAGTGAACGGGCGGCTTCTTCTAGAATCATGCTTATAAACTTGTGCGTCCAGGATGCCTTCACCTCATTTTTCTCTAAGCTGCACTCCTCCATCATCTTGTCTCCCTGCTCCTGAAAGGTGATGATGATGAGGGCAACAAAGATGTTGACAAAGAAGAAGGGGAAAACAACAAAGTAGACCACGTAGAAGATGGACATCTCCATGCGGTTCCCCCGGCTGGGCCCCCGGTCTTCTTCTGTCACATCTACTGAATGCTGCAGAACCCTAAAGGATTGGGAGAGGAAGACATTCTCCAGTCTTCCCCATTGATCCAGTGTCCTTCAATATGATGATCTATAGGCTTATATTTCTGATGAAGACTTTGTAAACTTATGATTTACAATACAATAACCAGGTTGCTCAAATATTTCTATGTACTTTCTAAAACTATAAAATCTAACATAACAGTGTTACAGTGAGGTATGGTGCATGCAGGAAAAGATTGTGATGATTCACTTGTGGCTCAGAGACAAACAAGGGTTTATTGAATTAAATAGTACACAATGGGGAAAAATAAGAACCAACTAAAGAAACCATAAAACAATAACACCAGGGAACAGAGCAATCAACACAGAGGAACAGAGTACACATAGAGTAACATCTCACAAGCACACAACAACTGGGTTAATGAGAGGGCAGTTGAAGAACATAAGAATTATTCAATAACTGAGAGAGCAGGACAATGGGCAACAGATGGAACAATTAACAAGCTAGGAACTCTAACTAAAACTGACACCAGAAAACCCAAACCACAAACCGGGATGACTACACTAAATAAGTAGATAATAAAAAGCAGGGAAAGAGAAAACCAAAATAACATTTGGAGGAACGGGGAAAACATACAAGGATCTAGTACAAAGATAGAGGAGGGAACAGAATGGCCAGCAACACCTGCTGGCCAAGCGGGGAAGAGACATGAAGTGCAGGGACGAATGGGCACTGACCCTGATAAACAGTGGCAGTATACACAAGACTTAAACCATAGTAAGTTGAATAATTATTGCTATGTGGTTTTTACTCCAGTCACTCACTGTGGCCAGCCTTCTCCAGTGGACACAGTAAACAAGGTAAGCAGAGCCCACACAATGTTGTCATAGTGGAACTCATGCCTCTTCCACTCCCGCTTTTTCACTTCCTTCTTGTCCTTCTCATAATCAATGTAGTAGCCCCTAAGTGACAGAGAATTACATATAACGTTTAAAGAGCTGAGAAAGCTTTCAGATATCAGACATCTTTTGCATCATTATCCAGAGGAGTTTTTTTAAATAATAAATAAATAAAAATTAAATAGAATTTCAATATGTCAGATGGCTGACATTTACAAATGCAACTCAACTGAGGTAAAGTACTTGTGGCTACAATGACAATAACCACAACCAACCTCACCATCTGCTTCCTTGCTTTCAGATTTAAAGTGAGACTAAGCCATTTTTTTACAATTACAGTGGGCAATGCCTTAGAGAGAGCCTGGCAAAGACATGACCTCCTTGAAAATATGAGTCAAAACAGCTATTTCGGCAGACACCTACTGACACTCCTTTTGGGTGTCCTTAGACCCATCTGTGCAGTAGAAGAACTTCCCTTTGAACAGCTGCACAGCAATAACGGCGAATATGAACATGAAGAGCTTGTAGACTATGAGGATATTGAATACATTCTTGAGGGAGGTAACCACACAATCAAACACAGCCTGTATAGGGGAATGAAGAAATAGGATATAAGGTTACACAACTGAAGGGGAAAGAGAAAAGGGAAAGAAGTCTAGAAATGTAATTATGAACTGATCATTTGGTCAATATCATTGTCTGACGCAAGTTCTGGGGAGGTTATTTCATCTTGTACATTGGATCCCTTTGAGAGTCTAACTGGGGCAGCAGCGTTTGCTTTTTCTGGGCACAAGACACACTTGGCCCACATAGCATGGAAAAGATGATCAACATATTTCCTGCAGGACAGGGAACCATGATCAGAGAAGCATTATTAACAACTGCATGTCTCTGTCTGAACTACTAACACTCGCAGGCAAATAGATTAACACTATATGCTCCTAACATCAGTTTCTTCTCATAAATATGCAGTTTTATGTAAACATTTATTCGGGATATCACGTCTCAACCCACAAAAATCTGGCAAAGTTAATATACAAAGGTTTGGTGCTGTTTTACTGTGTCATCTCCTAATTTCTGTTTTGTTTGCTAATTGCTATGAAAGTGTATGTATGTGTATTGTACTTTAAAGTAACCTCTTTGGTTAAACAAAATGAATGTGTGGAATAAAATGCATAAAAGGCAAACTGAACCTCATGCCCTACTTTCTGATAAATCTTGATTCACAGGGGTTTATTTCTACTCCTCTGTTACCAGGCATACTGACCTAGTATCTCTTAAAATGATTCCCATTTAGAACCATTTTCGATGCCAAATATACATAAATAATACAGTTACCTTCAAGTAATCACATCATCAGAAGACAGAATGGAGTTATTACAGTTAATTCTGCTATTAAATGGTCAATCAGTTTTTAAATAATTATTATAGTTATGAATATTATTATGTTTATTATTTTTGCATCATTCAGCTTTAGCCTAGTATTAGATGCAGCAGTAGATATAAATACAGTCACCTTCAATTTGGGTAGTCTTTTTATCGTCTTCAGTGGACGCAGGACACGTAGCACACGTAAAGATTTAATGGTCTTGATGTCACGCCCTTTGTTGTTCCTGCAGACACAACACACCACATATATACAGTACATATATGCTCAGGCAGCTTGAATGGTTAAAGCCTAGTTTAGTCATCCACCGTTAATCTGTCATTCATCCTAAAGCTAGCAAAAATGCGCATCTTATTTTTTTTCCAGCATCAAGGGTGTTCTCTACCATATTTTTCTGTACTCATTTTTTTTCTGGATTGCTAGAACTGTACTTCATAACATTTGGTTCATTTAAATTAAAAAATAGGCCATGATAAATATTGTTATAAAAAAATTTTTTAAGTAGCAACCATGTAATAACTTTTTAAATAGCAGCTTTTGTTGTTCTTAACTTTTGTCACAAATTTAAATTTCACATATTTTCAAATTTTTACACAGTATTTCATTATGTCAAATTTGATGTATTTTTACATAAAAATTTTTTTTACTTAAATTGATCAAATGTTAAGAAATATGGTAGAGAACACCCTTGATGCTAAACTGGGAAAATAATAAGAAGTTTAGCACATCCCTGCTAGCAATCAAATGAATGACCTGAGAAATTAACAAGTATTGCCGACAGTGGATGACTAAACTAGGCTTTAGTCAGCTTGAATATTCGACCATAGTGTCATAGTATTGATTGCTGATTACAAACTCCACTTTGTTTATTTTATTCTTATTTGAATATTTATTTTGCAGGTAAACAAGTATTTTTTGTTGCTGTTGCTGTAGCTATTTTGTTCTCAGCAAAGTTTGACTGAAATTTAGTATATTTTGATAATTTACTGTTAAATGCACAAGTTTAGTTCAATTTCCAATGGCTGGAAGTACTAGAAGCAAGACCAAAATTCGGTTAATAGGACAACAGTTATTTTTTTAGATTCTCTAGATATAGATCTTGTTGAGCAACCTCTAAACATCAATAAAACTATGAAAAATTATGCCTGGAATACTTTCTTACAATGCCTAACAAGATAAAAGAGTGAGTGCATGAGAAACTGCCATTTAAAATTTTTTAAAGAATCACCCTAATATATATGACTTGGCAAGTCAAAGAAAATGATCTTCAGGCTTAACTATGATAAACTACGATATGTCTGTAAAAGTGTTACATTAACCATTTCAAAACCTCTTCCTAAATTTACTCCATTATTTGCACTATCCAATACACTCCTGTATTTTTTACCTGACCACTAACACACCTCATTTGGCTCACAGACTTTCAAAAACAAATTTACTTAATTAAGCAAGTTGGTTGCAAAATTTAACAAATACATGGAATGGCTGGGGTGCCTCTGTGGAACTGAAATGGTGTTCTTCTAGCTGTCTAACAAGGTATCAGTGGAACTGAAATGGTGTTCTTCTAGCTGTCTAACAAGGTATCAGTGGAACTGAAATGGTGTTCTTCTAGCTGTCTAACAAGGTATCAGTAACTTTTTGGAAAGCAGAAAAAATCCTTGTTAGTTTTTATTCTGCCACTCTCAGTTTGTACATGTTCGACTGTCCAAATGTGTACTAGCCTGAAAAAAAGTTTTTTGCCTAAGACTTTTGCACAGTACTGCACATATAATATACTATATATATTTCAGAAGGCACATAGAGTTGAATTTTGTATTGATATCATTGTGGGGACTCTCCATTCATTTTGGAGGCTAACACCCTAATCCCAACAATGACAACTTTAACCACAATCCATCCCTAACCTTAACTTTAAGTAATCAAACAAAATGCAAGACTTTTGACATTTTTAGAGTTTCAATTGCAGTCACAGATTTTTATAACACTGAGTTTTCCCTTGTGGGGACTGAAAGGTGGTCCCCACAATGTCAAAATAACAGGTTTTTGTCACATTGTGGGGATATTTGGGCCCCACATTTTAATACATACATGATCTCACACACACACACGCGTGTGCGCACACACACACACATGTAGGGTAAACATATCCTTATGGGGACTGCTCATTCATTTCAATGGGAAAAATGCTAACGCTAACTATGACAGCCTTAACCCCTACCCTGCCCTAACCATAACCATAAGTAACCTAACAAAATACAAGAGTTTTATTTATTTTTAGTTTTTTCATAGCAGTCACCGATTTTTATAAAATAGAGTTTTCCCTTATGGGGACCAGGAAACCGGTCCCCATAAAGGAAAAAAAAAGGATATTTATCACGTTATGGAGACATTGTGTCCCCATAAGGATAGGTCAACCCGCTCACATACACACACACACAAACACACACATGGATGAGATTTTTATCAGTATAAAATGACACAACCACAAATGGAAATATGAAAAGTATTTTTTTACCCCATCAAATTCCTGGCGCCCCACAGTGAAACAATCCACAGGAAAAACAGAAAAAATAAGAGTATAGAGAAACACTGAAAATGCACTTTTTAGGAAGAACATCTATATTCACAACAAAGAAACCACACATTTGTTTGAATTGGTGAACAGTTTCAAAACTTTCACTATAGAGATGTAATTTTTATATTTCTCCAATTCAGTTAGAAAATACTTTTACACCCACAAATCATTACTGACAGCAAGTGCAAATTGGCAGTCATCAAAACCTTCTGTGCAGAATATTGAAAGCATCACAGCATTAGGTGATTGTAATTGAAACACTGTAATATATGAATGTTCCATCTTATTGTTTATGTGCTGTAATTTAATTTGCTTTGACTCACGTTAGGGCAAAGGCTATCAGAGCGCCGATAACCACAATAAAGTCCAGGATGTTCCACAGATCACGAAAATATGAGCCGTCATGCAGGATCAGACCCTGGTCGATCATCTATGGAACAAAGACACAACTTAACTTACACCTCTACTTAAAACAATGACAGTACTTATTGGCAGATTGTGTTTTCCACAATAACATGCAACAGTTGAACTAAACAGTTCTTTATTGATGTCATTAAAGAAACACCAACCTTAATTATCATTTCAAAGGTGAAGACTCCTGTGAAGACATAGTCAAAGTAACGAAGAACCTGCAATGTGCAAAACAAACAACTTTGTAATGCCATACCAAAGCACTCAGCGAATTCGTATCTATAGATTGTTATCTCTCTTTGGATTAGATGGTTTTTGTTGATTGCCTTGCATTAAGAGAGATTTCACTTTACCAGGAAATTGATTTCAATATTTCCAAATTTTGCCCTGCCTTGTTTCAAACACCTCAGTGTGTAGGATATTTAATTATTTTGCTATTTTTTTTTTACACAGTCTTGATTGATTTTCTACAAAAATCATGGAAAGACTCTTACTTGTTAATCTGTGAGTATAACAACAGATGTCTATCTGAAACAGCTGTATGATCTATGTTTCTGTTTGGACAGACAGATCCACATAACAAACTGATTGGAGAATGGAATTGGGGTTTATTCAGAACCCTTGGAATTCCAGAGACTGGAAAAACAGAACCACCAAAACTAACTTTCTCACTTCATTAAAGGACCAACATACAGGTAAAATGTGATGGCACTGATCTCCAGTGGTTCTCTCTCTCTCTCTCTCTCTCTCTTTTTCTCTCCCCATACCCTCCCCCATTAAAAAAAAACCTGTGATATATGCTTAGTCATAGACAGACGGAGCTAAAGCCTTCCTAGTAAAGCACGCAAACCATAAGATTTCTCAAGTCTAGATTCTGAGGACAAAATCTGGTTCTCGAACAGTGTTTAATTTGTGCATTATTATTTTGTGTGATGTGCTACAAGTTGCAGGTATCAGGTCTCACTTTGTTCCACTCCGAGTTGGTCGATACAGGGTCTTCTGCTGCCAGGGCGATGCTACTGGCCACGATGACCAGGAGAATGGACATTTCAAAGTACCGCAGGTTAACCACATAGTGACAGATCCGTCGTATCCTCGGTAAAGGGCATCAAGAAACAATTCTTTACCATCAAGCAATTTCAAATTAAGTACTAAACATTCAATCCATTCCTGTGCCATTCTATCCATTTCGGTTGTGGTTTAATAAAGCACAATAGAAAAAGAACAATGAAATGAATTGAATTGAAATGAATTAAATTAATTTGCCGTGTAAAGATGTGTAAGACTGAGCACAGATAACCACACTCCAGATTTTTTATGTACTCTTACGGGTTAGTAGCCTTAAAGATGAACATGCTATCTGGCGGCACAGCTTTGGGTACTGTCTTTACTTCCTCTTCCTCTTCCTCCTCTTCTTCTTCTTTCTCTTTATCAGAATTGGCAGCCTCAATATCTTTATTGTTCACTGCAAGGCAAGGGAAAAGCTCCCAGGTATATAAGATCATTCACTACATTGCATGGCAGTCATGAAAACATTCATGGGCCATCAGAATGAAGTCATAGTTCTTGCACAAAACCATGCAGAGTGATGTTATGTTGGTCTCTGTCTTTGGGACTGAAGTGTAATGTAAAAGGAAGGGTGTTAAACAATGTTAGCAGGCCAAAACAGGGTATTATCAGAGGGTACAGTGGTACCTCAGAACTCAAAATTATTCCGTTCAGAACTCTGGATTGAATCCTAAAAAGTTCGAGTTCTGATCGAATTTTCCCCATAAGAAATAATGGAAAACCAATTAATTGGTTCCCGGGCCGCGTGACTCATTTCCCTGCGCGTACAAGTTATCTTAGGTTGGCGTTCACGGTTTGACTTCTGCGATTTAGATCAAGTTCAACTCTGTATCATTTGGCTGTGTTTCCTTGTTGGCATATGATTTGCATATATTAGTACATTCATGTAATTCTGTATGTATTATGAGTGTGAATCTTAGTGTGCTAGATCTGGGTTTGAGACTGTCCTCTTAGGCTGCCTGATATAATATAATGAGAGTTAGGGTGAATGATCTTGTACAAAGTTGAAATATAGACGGAAACCAGTGGAGCCAAGCTTTGCCTCCTTATATCCTTATGTCCAAATTGCACCTTGCCAAAGTGGAGCTCTGCCTCTTTCAATGTTATTTTTTTTCTCTTTTATTGTTCCAAAATTTAGTAAAAGATTCAAAGTGAATGGCTTAATAAAAGGTCACTTTTGTGCTAAAAATGATGCTTCATTAGTAGCCCCGACCTGACATTAATTTCTCAAGTGTATGAAATATTTGAACACGATGCCTTAATTTCTGTGTCATGTTGATGTATTTTGACTTATTTTGCTTACTGTACTGCTGCCAAAACGTCATTTAGCTACACTTGCTAGAGGCAAGATGTATGTAAGAAGCAATTAATGAATAGCTTGATAATTTAACGCATCACAGGGACATTGTGAATGAATAAGCAAGAATATTACTTGTAGTCATAAGCCATTTTGATGCATTTTTAAGTTTCATTTACATGTTATGCCTCAAAAAATTGGTAACACTTTACAATACTGTAGGATGCTTTAGGATTTCCTGATGTGTCCATTGTTAATAAATGCATTAACTCATGGTTACTTTGGCATTAGTTCATTTATTAATATATGCTTATTTGTTGACCAGTATTGTAAAGTGTTACCAAAAAATTCAAGTACTAACCATGCAATATGTACAACACCCATATCAAATAAGAAAAAACCTTTTGATTACATTTTGCATTGCCTTAAAGTGGTAACACAACACGCTGACATATGTTAAGATTTTGATCATAAATACATATGATAGCTAATATACAGGAAGGCTTCCCTTCCTCCCTGATTGTGATTTAACCCCTGATCCACAGTATGTCAGTATGCATTGGCTAATTCCCATAATGGGCATGCAGATGTTTCCGGAACTCATATGCCTGCAGTACCTGTCATAGGTGTCAGCTCCATCAGTGGTTGAGCCCCAGGTACCTCTATAACTACACTGGCGTTAGAATCCAAGCCCTCACGATTCAGGGAGGTAGGATTGTTCTCACTGTCTCCCATAGCCATGTTGATGTCTAGAACTGCCATGCCGGCTTCTTCCATGAGTTGTGGGCTAGTGTTCTGGCTCTCCTCCAGCTCCAGCCCATGTGCAGAGGGCAGCATGGGCTTAGTCTCTGAGAGGTCAGCAAACGCAGAAAATTCCCCAGTGGCATCATTTAACCTGTAAATAAGAGGAAGATTTAATAGGATAAACAGATTAAAATATTAGGGTTTATAATCTGTACTCCAGGGGTAGTTTGTTTTTCCCTGAAGCCCAAATTCCATGAGTGACAAACCAAGGCCCTGTACAATTGTCCAGGCAAGGATTCCCCTTGGTAGGTTTAGCTGACCTGGGGGGTGGTTCGTCATGCTGGGGGGCTCCACCAGTTGAGGGTCACTGCTATAGTCTACAACGTTTCTATAGTGACATCAAGTAACTGCAAGCTGAACGAGTTTATTTATAGTTTACATAAAAAAACAAGATTTGGTCAGACTACTGTAAAACCTGAAATAAAAACTAAAGAGAAATTTCCCTGTCAGAGCAACAAAATAATGACTAACATGACTTGGGGGTCACCCTTACCTCTGCTGCTCCTCATTTTTCACTGTCTGAGTGTCTCCTTCCTCAGCCTCTGCATCCTCTTTCTCTTCAGGGGGCCTTCTTTCCTGGCTAGCAGCATGATGGCTCTCCTTGTGGGCCTCTCTGGCCCTGCCATCAGACCGGGACTCCCGGTGCCGATGCTTCCTGGGTCGTGTTCCATCCTCTGGAGCTAAGGTGTTCCCAGAGGGTGGTCGGAACCTGCGAGCCCCCCGCTGCCGCCTCTCTCCAGAGCGGGGGCTCCTCCAGCCCTCCTGAGACAGGTGGCAATGGTTTGTCACGGCTAACCTATCTTCTGGCCCTGGTAAAGGCAACGACTTTGATTCTAAGGGGTTAGGAAGTGACATGGCTAATGGGTTGTCTGGTGGGGGGAGGATGATAGACATGGGGGGCTCAGGGATGGACATGGGGGGTTCAGGGAGTGGCATGGCCACCGACATAGGCGATTCTGGCAGAGGCATGCCCGTAGACACGGGGGATTCCGGAAGCCGGCGCAAGCTGGCGCTGGATGTGTAGGTGGCCTTGCGCTGATGGTGGCAACTGCCTGGGGTGTCCTGCTCCTCACTGGGGCTGCTGAACAGGACTTCCCGGCTGGCCATCTGCCTGCGTTTGCGCAGCTGGTTGGCTCTCTGTTCCCACACCGACATGGATATCCGTTTCCTCCTGTCTCTCCTGGTCACTATAGAGTTAGAGGCATTGTACTGCTGCTCGTCTCCCCCGTCAGCCTGGTCCTCCGCCTCTGTCTCGGCAACATAGGCAGGACGGCTTCTGTGAATGGCCCGCTTCCTGTACAGGTATGGCCGCCTCCTCCTGCTGGAATAAAAGATAAGAAACCTTGTCAACACAGGCAACGAGTAGGATCCTCCAGAGCATTCATTTATTTTCATTCATGTAGACATTTTAATAAATAGATTCAAAGTATGCACAGGTTTTCTTTTCATTGATTCATACATGTATGTGAAATGACAGCGTAGAAAGAAAACATTTGAATAGTACTAACTGACATTTCTAAGGGTTCTGATTTTCAAATCTTGGTAATCAGGAAAAACATTAAAAGAGATTTACAAATTGAAAAAAAATTAAAGTACCAGAAAAGAAATGAAAACAAACAATGTGAAAACACAGATGAATCTCCATACATTTTTCTTTTAATTTAAAGACTGGAAAACATTTACCGAGTTAAGAAAATCAGACATGTTGAGTGATAAGATAAAGGAACAGACATTACTTACTCGTACTGGTACTCTTGTGTAGTCCGTGAAAATCAATGAGCGATTGGTTGAAAACAAGACATTAGTGTATTTGTGAACATAGACAAAACAACTGAAGTGACAAAGTCCAAAACGTGACATAAACAATAGATTATATTCATAGTAGTAATTCCTAAATTCCTCAGATATAGGCTGTATGTTTAATTTGGTACTACTTGAGCAAAATAATCTACAAAATAGTTATTTCTATGGGATAACCCAATGGAATCTGATTTTAGGAGCTAAGCACAAAATCGCTTTGGTCTCTGTCACTTAGCAAGAAAAGCTTTGAGTGTCGACAAGATGGCACCAGTATCACAACAGAGCAACATCAACAGGTACAATGCACAATATTTAAAGAACAAGAAATGTTGAGACCGCAAAGGAAATGAGACATTAATAAAACACATATAAATGATGCTCATTCTCTAATGATATTTGTCTGAAGGGTTCATTTTGCTATTTTTGGTAGCTTGTTGTGTTTTTTTGGTAGCAAAAGTGTCCTGCAACCATGCTGGCCAGTTGCATGCACTTGGTCTCATGATGGGACAAAAGGGTAAGGGTAAGGTTGATCACAGATATTTTAAACAAATCACACATGCTACATTGTGCAGATTTGTCCTGCATTCTGACTGTCAACATGCTGGCCTCACTTCTTGCTCAATCCTCTGTGCCACTACCATTGCCAAAACCCATGCCACATCCATTCAGATGTTACTATGAAACCAATACAGTCAAGCTCTCATTTTGATCATTTAGTGCTCCATGGTGCTGTGATATAACAAAGTACTCTAAGATGATATTGTTTCAAATCCAATGTAGTACAGCAGTTTTTGCACAATACAAAGAACTTCCTTTTAAAAGCCATATAATCACATTCAGATCTTTTGTCAAATATTATGTGTTACAGTTATTTTTGTTACGTTTGCAATACTGCAGGTAAATTTTTATAACTTATTTAAAACTTACATAGGATATTACAAAATAAGTGGATACGTAACTTGAACAGTGCAGGACTGTGCTGAAATTACGAAAGACTCATAAACGGTTTGGTAGGGCACTTTCTCTTTTTCTTCTTTACCATAATGCCTCAACACATTCTAATGTAAAGTTGGCACTTCCAGATTCCATGCAAAATGCTACTATGTTTCACGTCAAACATGCATATTTTTCAGTTGTAACGTCTTACATGCTTACACATGCATTATACATGCACGAGTTTAGACTCTGCCCTTATATTACTTTGTGGAGCAAGATTTTCTGGATAAACGTCAGGTTGAAGTGACAGATATGTGTATGTGTAGATTATGAGGGAGTTCAACCCAGACCCAGCCTGAACCTTAGAACAGAAAAGACCTTTCCAGTAGTAGAGGTAACACACCAGCAGCATTTAGGATCTGAAATCAGACAGCAGGCTACTGACCAGCACATACACTCTACAGACCAAAGTATATGACCATCTGGCCATTACAACTATTTTCATGACACCCTAAATCCATAGGCATCAATATGGAGCTGCTCCCCCCTTTGCAGCTATAACAGCTGCTACACTTCTGGAAAGGCTTTCCACAAGATTTTGGAGTGCGTCTGTGGGAATTTTTACTAATTTAATATTTATTATTATTATTATTATTATACTATTTAATATTTATTGGTATTTATTCTTCTATTTGTGAGGTCAGGCACTGATTTTGGACTTGAAAGCCTGGCTCACAATCTCCATTCTAGTTCATCCTTAAGGTGTTTGATAGAATTAAGGTCAGGGCTCCATGTGGGCCAGTCAAGTTCTTCCACATGTAACTCACCCAAACATGTCTTTATAGACCTTGCTTTGTGCACTGGGGCACAGTCATACTTGAACAGAAGAAGGCCTTCCCCAAACTGTTCCCATAAAGTTGGAAGCATAGAATTGTCCAAAACGTCTCGGTATGCTGAAGCACTGAAGCAAGTCCACTTCACTGGAGCTGGGGGTTCTAGCCCAACCCCTGAAAAACAACCCTACACCATTATCCCTCCTCCACCAAACTTTAAAGCTGGCACATTGCAGTCAGGCAAGTAAAGTATCATCCACTAAACCCAGACTTGTCCATCAGACTGTCAGAGAGAGAAGCAAGATTCGTCACTCCACAGAACTGCTCCAGAGTCCAGTGGCAGTGTACTTTACACAACCCCATCTGACGCTTGGCATTGCGCTTGGTGATGTGAGGCTTGCATGCAGCTGATCAGCCATGGAAGCCCATTTCATGAAGCTCCTGGTGCAAAGTATTGTGTTGGGGTTAATGGCAGAGGCAGTTTGGAAATCTGCAGTTACTGAATCAACAGAAAGGCTTTTATGCACTATGTGTCTCACCACTTGACAACCCCGCTCTGTTACTTTATGTGGTCTGCCACATTGATGTTTAGTTTGTGTTGTTCCTAAACACTTCCATTTTGTAATAATGCTGCTTACAGTTTACTGTGGAATATCTAGCAGGGAAGAAATTTCACAAATTGACTTACTGCAAAGGTGGCATCCTATGACAGCACCATGCTTGAATTCACTGAGCTCTTCAGAATGACCCACTCTTTCACAAATGTTTGTAAACCTGCCTGCATGGCTAAGTGTTTGATTTGGTCTGAATAAAACACCTGAAATCAGTAATTAAGAGGTGTGTCTCAATACTTTTGTCCATATAGTGTTTATGCTCCCACAGATTCAGGCGTACTGAAGATTTCAATTTCAAATAAACCTTATCACCCCATTTCTCTATTTTCACATACAATAAAAATACACAGTCATTTTTTAACAGTACAAAGCTAATTTTCTGTGGTTTCCTGCAATCATTTCCCTACAATTCCAGACCTTTCCTGAAAACATTTCTGTTCTTTGTTTTTATATTGTTCAAGGACACGCCACAGTAATTCTGTTCTCCAAATTTGTAACTTAAAAAGTCAGAGGTTCATGCTGAACTCCATGTATTTGTTGAATTTGAGCTCAGTTTGAACAGAATTCAAATAAATCTCACCACACGAGGGAGCACAGTAATGCACAAACTGAAAATTACAGCAGCTTAAAACGCAGATGGACAAATGATTCAAGAAATACTCTTTAAATTTTCATTATGAATAAATTATTCATTTCTTTTTCATCATAGTTGAAACAGAACATAAACACAACTCCAATGTACCTTTAATTGTAGAAACATACATCACACCCACAACTGTTAATTCAGTGTAATAAAGTAATATTCTACAAATTTTTATAACTGTATAAATATATTTATATATTATATTCCTCTACTTTTAACCTTTTTAGTCATGCTCATAAGAGTCACCCATCTGGAAAATGCTGAGAATTTATTTATTTTATTTACATTTATGGGTAAGTGCACATAAAAGAACCAATGAAATAGGTCTTCTATTGCCACATTAAATTATACCATATAGAATGAAGAATATTAGGTTAGATTCCCCAGTTGAAATGATTTAATCTCTAAATCCAGCCTCTATAACTGCTTATCAAGGTTTTGACAACAATGGAGCTCAGGTAGAATTAAGCACGGGACATCCATGATGCTAGTCTCTGCCAGCGTAACAAAGATAACGAATTTAGGAATAATCAAATTTTTACACTAATGATAATAATCTGTAAGGACAGTATTATTTTATTCATAAAGCACCAGCAGCTTGTACTAAATGACGCCCACTGCAGTGTGATGTAATAACAGGACCCTGTTACTGTGCAGCGGTTAGCAAACAGTGCCCTATAAAACCCTAGAGAATGGGTATAAAAAATACGTGTGTTTCTCTCTCAAATGTTTGACTTGGACTGGATAAATGAAGAGTGCTATCTCTATGACAACAGTTGAAATTTCTCTCTGCAGTTGCTGAGAAGCCTGCCAGTGTGTGTGGCTGATCCATCTACAGCAACAGAAAGAACAAGCCTGATCCATCTACTGTAACAGAAGGAACACAGCTGACCTATCTACAGTAACAGGAAGATCACGGCTGATCCATCCATGGTAACAGAAAGAACACGGCTGATAAATTTACAGTAGCAGAAACAACACAGGGAATCCATCTAATGTAACATGTATCTAACATCTAACATCCATGTACTGTAACATAAGGCACATGGCTGATCCATCTACAGTAGTATAATGAACACAGCTGATCTATTTACCATAACATGAAGATAGTGTTGGGCATTTCAGGTCCAGAATCCAGACCAAGAATTTGTTTCTACCAAGCAGTTGAGTATACTGTGACTGTGACTCGTTATGCTAAACTGGTTGGTAGAAACAAAATCTTGGTATGGATTTGTAGCTTCTGTACCTGAACTACCTAACACTGCATAAAGAACATAGCCGATCCATGTGCCATAATATAAAGAATACAGCTGGTCAATCTACAGTAGCAGAAAGAACACAGCTGATCCATGTGCTGTAACATAAAGAACACAGCTGATCCATGTGCTGTAACATAAAGAACACAGCTGATCCATGTGCCGTAACATAAAGAACACAGCTGATCCATGTGCCGTAACATAAAGAACACAGCTGATCCATGTGCCGTAACATAAAGAACATGACTGATCCATGTGCCGTAACATAAAGAACATGACTGATCCATGTGCCATAATATAAAGAAAACAGATTGTCAATCTACAGTAATAGAAAGAACATGATTGATTAATCTACAGTAGCAGAAACAACACGGCTGATTCATCTACCGCAACAAAAAGAACATGGGTAATCCATATACTATAACATAAGGAACATCGCTGATCCATCTATAGAAGCAGAAAGAATATGGATGATCCAAGTACGGTAACATGGCTAATCCATTAACAGTAGCAGAAGGAACACGGCTGATCCATCTACTATAGCAGAAAGAACACAGCTGATCTATGTATCTGATCCTTCCACCATAATATAAATACATGACTGATCCATCTACAGTTGCAGGAAGAACACAGATGACCCATCTACAGTAACATAATGAACACAACTGATCCATCTAAAGTAATATAAAGAACATGGCTGATCCATATATCGTAAAATAAAGAACACAGCTGATCCATCTACAGAAGCAGAAAAATATGAATGTTCCTTCTACAGTAACAGAAATAACACAGCTGATCCATCCACAATAATATAAAGAACATGGCATGACTGTCTAGTTTAACATAAAGAACATGTTTGATCCATGAACCGTAACATGAAGAACTCAGCTGATTCATCTACAATAACAGAAAGAACATGGCTGATCTATCTATGGTAAAAGAGCACAGCTAATCCATTTAGAGCAACAGAAAGGACATGACTGATTAATCTTTCATAACATAAAGAAACCGTAACATAAGGAACATGGCTTATCCATACAGTAGCAGAAAGAACACACCCGATCCATGTACCATAACACAAAGAACATGACTGGTCCATCTATAGAAGCAAAAAGAACATGGCTGATCCATGTACAGTAACATGAAGAACAGTGTTGATCCATGTATAGTAACATAAAGAACATGGCTGATCCATATACAGTTGCCGGAAGAACATGGCTATTTCAATTAAAATGACTACTCAGCATTTAAAAAGCTGGACAATTATTTGCAAATTTAGTAATATATCAACCCTGTAATAACCAACCAATAATTATGTCACTTATATTAATTATGCATTATAACTAGATGCTGTCAGAATGACAATACTACATGACCCAGACAGCCCTGTCACCCCATCTAATCATCTAATCCCTACTCTTCCCACACCTCCCATTCTGTACAGTGTCTAGCTACACATTGTCCCTCAAAAAAACATATTTATACTTTATTTTAGCATGTTCAGAAAACTGTATCGCATCTGAAAGTTTGCGAATCACTGACCCATACAATATTCATGGAAAGTTTGAAAAAGATTAATCAAATACTTTAATAGTTATCATGTTCACAGGATTAATTAGTCTACTCAAACTGTAATGGAAGCACTTTCATATACATGTATCTAACATTAGTGTATTGTACAAACTTAAAATAATTATAGGCTTTTAAAAAGTTACGTTCATTCACCTGATGATTTTTATTAAAAGTGACCCCACGGTATCCTTGGAACAATTATGGTTAAGGGGCTTGCTCAAGGGGCTAGTGGTGACTCTAGTGGTGATCACTCTCCCAGCCGCAGGATTTGAACCAGTGATCTTCCGATCATAGGCACAGAGTCCTAACCCACAGAGTCACTCACCACCCAAATGACAAAGAGAAACAAGCACAAACTTATTTGAGGGCCTCTCGAGGGTCCACTGAGCACCAGCACCTGTGTTAACACTACTCAATGGGAGGATGTCCACCATGCGAGGCAGCAGGGGCCAGGCTGTGAGCCGTCATAGGGCTAGGGGCCCTGATATCACTTACTCTGACATCAGGGAGGACATCGGACCGACCTCCTTGGCTTTCTGCAGAGCATGTTTCTGATTGAAAATCTGCTCTTCTTCCTCTTCCTCCTGTCCGAAATTTTCATCTAAGTCGGCATATTCAGCTACAAAACTTCCATTTCCCATCTGGCATGGCAGCAATACTTTAATACAATCAATGTTCCATTTATATAGTTTTGAATTAGTAAAAAATTGCCATTTCTCATTAAATTAAGCAGGTTGTCATATATACCGACCTTTGTCAGCTCCTGAGCATTGGCAAGGTTATCCACGGCGATGGCCAAAAACACATTGAGCAGCGTGTCTGTTTACAGGTTCAATAAGGAAGCTAATAAAATGAAATATCCTTCACAATGCTTTCCCTGTTCTCAAGCAATTATCTAATTAAACAACCACATCCATGAATAATACTTTAGGGCAGGATACAGTTTCCAAACAGTGTGAGCACAATGAAGTATATAGACGACCACATTCCTGACTGTACACCACCTTGAGAGCGAATCCCATTGTACATGACCTCATTCCAGTCTTCACCAGTCAGGATCTAAGCAAACAAACAAAGAATCACACACAATGATGCAGTGCCAGGTTAGAAAGGTTGCATGTGGCAACAACACTGCCCCCCGGGGGCTCCTCACAATAAAATCTGCTGAGCAGCGAGAGGGGGGTGGGGGGAGGATTTACAAAACATGGTCCAGGTACCAAAATACAGGACAAAATCATATCATGTCCCATACTGGTTCAAAACAGGTCACAGCATTTAATTTTCCAATATGGGAAAATCTCGTAATATATGGCAAGGATGCCATATATAGCTAACTATAGCACTTCCACCTCGCCATTTGTCTGATTGACCTACACCTGTGGGTACACCTTAGCAATTTGAGGGTATAAGCTTAGGCACCCTTGAAAACCTGGGTCTGTGATGATGCTAATAACTCACCGTTCCACATACACTCCGCCTTAACAACATACAGAAATGCTGGAGCTTAATATATAAGACATGGTAAGAATGACAGGGACATACCTGAAATACAGTCATAATTGCTGCTGGAAATGTATCAAAATTTGTAGGGGTGTAATCTTCAAATATGAACCTGAAAAAAATAATTAAAAAGCTATTTCATTTGGAATGACATATCTTAGACTGGACAACAAATCTTTTAAAAATGTTTTCTTCCTAAAACTTAAATTAGAGATTACGATAGACAACTACAAGTTGTACCCAAAAATAATTTTACATTTTCTGTGTCACGTAGGAAGTTGAAGAAACATTAAATTAATTTTAATTGAATTCAGCAAGTTTAATTGCATAATGATGCTGACATATTGTGTTAATTCAACTGAGCTAAAAACATTTTGCTGCTGATTTTTATTTATAATCAGCATCTGAGTTGGCCAGCATTGAAGGATTCTATTGGCCCTGATACCACTTTTCCATGGTCTTAATGCCCTGCTGAAACGTTTCACCCTCCAAGATGAGCCATTGTTGTGGGTCAGGCACACAACCCAAAGCCCTGAACAACCTATCAATGTCTGGGCAGAAACAGAGACAGTCGACTTGCATGAAGGAGTTGGTCAAATGTTCTTGGTGGCTCTGACAGACAGAGTTTTTGTACCTGATGACAGCAAAGCCCATCCTTGCTGTCTTGAATCAAGTAATTTTGCTTTTGGCATTTTTTGATTGTCGGTACAGAGTTTTTATTTTTTTTTGAAAACTTTTTGGCTGTGTTATCAGATGAAGAGAGACAGGCATAAAGGATTATACATCTGGATTAGTGTTGTCTTCCATAACTGGTTTGTGCATTGTGGCATCTTCATCTGCTTCATTTAAGCTCCAAGTCTCTGGTCGCTGTTTATGTCTTAAATATGTGAAAATGTTGTTATGTGGCATTGGTCTTCAGTAGGCTTCTTATTTTTTGCAGAGAAGCCAGATACATTTCTCTGGCAGTAGTAACAGCCCATCACATGATCCTTCTGTTTTCACCATATCTTTGGAGCGGCAAATGGCACTGACTTCCAAGTACCTCTGAGCCAAGCTCTCAGGTTGACTGCACATGATTCTCAACAAATGTGAGGAGCCCAGAGTTTGTCTGGTCACCAATTTTGCAACCAATATTGAGCTCATAAGCTATCTTAATATGTGCAGTCATACTGTGTTCTTTAAGCCTTCTGTATATGTTCTCCACAAATGTAGCTTTTGCGATATTGATGAGATATTTCTGCTGTACTGAATGTTCCTGAAGACAATAAATGCTATTTGTTGTACACTCCCTATGCTATTGTCCTCAAAAAACGTGCATCAACATGCGTTCAAACTCTATCAATGTAATACACAGAATCTGTATATATGATCTTCATTTATAGCCTGTCTGCCTGATACCCTGATTTAGCCCAGGCATGTCTAAGACAACATTTGCATAGCTCCTGCAATGAGTGCATGTCCAGGCTTGCTTAGGCTGACCAAAACAGCTTGCTTTGTGTACAATATACCGGTATACTTAAAACATGAGAGGAAATCACAAAAATACATTATATTGTAGGAAATTTTAAGGTTATTTTAGCAGTCCAAAAATTCGTAAAAGTATCCTGAAAAGTATTCAATTTATTATTAAGTAACTCTTTATTATTTAAAGAATGTCAGTAGTAATGTGTGGTGACAAATCAAAATTGCACTGGACTGTACCTTCCACCAAACAGCTGCATACCCAGCAGTGCAAAGACCACTATGAAGAGAAAGAGCAGGAACAACAGGCTGATAATGGACTTCATGGAACTCATCAGGGATACAACCAGGTTCCTCAGAGATGCCCAGTATCTAGAACATGACAAATTTAAAAGGATAAGTTAAATGTTTTGTATATTGAACAAAAACACTGGAAAAACAACTGCAAAATACACGCGTACATTTGCTGTCATATCTTCGTGGGGACTCTCCATTCCCTTCTATGGGAAAAACCCTAATCTCAACAACAACAACCTTAACTATAAGTAACCAAATAAATTCAAGATTTTTGGCATTTATATATATATATATATATATATATATATATATATATATGTGTGTGTGTGTGTGTGTGTGTGTGTGTGCGTGAGTGTGACACCCCCCACACACAAACTTCATGCTCTGCGTGGAGAATTAAATAATTAACTCAAAGTTATTAAAAAAGATAAATGATAAAAATATCATTCTCTGTTACTCGGATAAAAGAGCAGTACAAATGTTTTGGCTGAAATATTAATGTACAATCAGCCTGTAGTCGGAAGGCTGCCAGTTCAATCTCCAGCCTTGTCAGAATAGTCACATCTCCACTAGCCACTTAACCTCCCAAAATGCTCCAGTGGCACTTTATAAATGGCCAGACCCTGCACTTGGATCCCTGAATATGTAACTGAATATATTTGGGTGTGTTTGTGTCTCAAAGGAAAGCAAGATGGTGAAAAATATGTAAAAAGAAGCATTCTAATGTACTTATGGAAACTGCCAATGATGGATCATTTCATAAAACAAATTGGTTAAGTTTCAGCTGCTACCACTGTCATATCAAAAATGATAAGTATCAATTTGATACTGGAGCTTGGTTGGGGTTTCTGTACGAACTTGGTTTTATACTGCTAGAAATCTGCCCACTTTTTTGCTAAGACTATGCGGCACTGCTTCAATTTTTGGGCAATCTGTCTGGGGAACAGAATAATGCAATATGAATAATAGCAAGGCAAAAAGCAATCCTGTTGTGCGAAGGTAGGGGGCAGGGTCCTGATGAAGTGCTCACTTAGTGATCTTGAAGATTCTGAGCAGGCGCAGAGCTCGCAGGACACTGATTCCAAAGGACATGCCAGGTCGGAAGAAGCCCCACACCACCTCGAATATGCTCCCGACAATCACCTGTGAACGAGAGGAGGCCATTCAGCCCATCAAGCTTGTTTGGGGAGAACTTAACTAATAGCTCAAATAGGACTAAATCTGTCTGGCTTTTGCTAATTTCAAAAACCTTTTAAGGGTATAATATTATTTCTGTATCATTTAATTGCTGCGTTAGTCATAGCTTCTTGTAATCATTATTTTGTACTTCGCCTTGTCCTCCTAAACCTTTCAAAGCAAAGCGAATGAACTCACTCCACAGTCAAAGCAGTTAAAGGATGAGTGGAAGTAAAGCCTGGGTCCCAGACCATACATCTTTAAGAACATCTCCATAAGAAACAGACCCAGAAAGACAAATTCTGCATAGTCTGTAAGGAAATACAAAATAAATGTCAGTTGAAAGCGTATATGGACATGATGCAGTGTGTTACACATGGTTTAAAGAAGTACCAGGTATGGAGCCTACTCCTGTACTCTAGTAATTACTCATGATCTGAATCATTCCAGTAAAAGTACTCATTTCATATTGTTGAAAGGTCTTTAAGTTTCTTCCAATGACGGTAAATAAAATAAGTTAAATACGGCATGTTTTGAGCAAAGGAAGCTAGTACGAGGACTACTTGGCAGGAAGAAATTAGGTGCGACATACACAGGAAGATGGACAGCCACTCTGGCTGATTATGGTGCACAATGGCAACGCAGATCGTGTTGAGGGCCACCAGGCTGAGCACAGTCCAATAGAAAGTATGCGTCTTCACCATGCGGCGAATCGAGATGCGCAGCATGCGCTCCTTGCGACGGAAGTAAGCTGCGGGGCCCCGCCTGGCGCTCCTGATGTTCACCCGCGCTCTGGGACCACCTTGTGGAAAAGGGGACGTTCAGACTCACACAGAGAAGCCTTTACTCCAGCTCCTAATCAGTATTACTGTGTATCTGTGCGGCAGAAAATCCCCACAACAATAATTAAGCCTAAAATAATCTCAGCATGGTCAGGTATTAGATAATCAGCATTTGGACCACCCAGTTCAGATAGCTAGTGATGAAAATAAGATATTACTTATTATTTATCGATACCTACAGTACCTTCAGTACATAACTTTACTGTATATCCATAGAATAATTTTAGTTACCATATGCTAAGCAGCACTCAAATTCCAGTCTGCCTATGCATGTGTAAGATGGGGGAGGCAGTCATGGATGGCACAGCATGGCTCAAACCCATGTGATATGTCCATTATTTCATTAACAGTTTACAGATTAAATTGGCTTCTATTTTTACTTCTGTCACAACACCCAACCAAACCCCAAAGCCCGATTCCAGACCCTGTTGTATTGCATCCCAAAAGCCTACAGCTATTTTGTTTTTTGATTTTTTTTTCACTTCTGTCAGATTCTTTTTATTCCTCTGCACCTTCCTGTTAAACCTGTCATAATATTTCAAACTAAAAGTCCTCAATTCCACAGGCCACCCTCCCATTCCTGTCTTATATGCTCCTGTTAGTTGCCAGACACAAAGCTTTTTGTTATGTTTTGAGACACAAAAAATGAAGGCATGCTCAAAAAGAAAATAAAAAATAAATTGGTGGAATCAAGTCATTCTTATAGTTTTCTAATGAAGCCAAAGATAGTATTTCTACTAGTAAAATAATTCTGAAAGGAGATGGTGAATTGGTGACTGTGAACTCTTGCACTCACTCATGTCAGCATACTTGCCCTCCCCCGGGCCACGCCGGCCTGCTTCCATGCGACTCTTCTTGCTGGTGGCTCTCTTCAGCACTGGAGGTGTATCAGAGTGACATTTAAAAACCAAAATCCCACACAAACAGATGGGAATGCGAGGACCATGAGCCAATACAGCCATTCAATGACATAAGTCCTGACAATGCGCATGCCGCTTTAAACATAAGATTTATTACATTCATTATGTATTGATGAATTTAAATTTCAATCATGTTTTTTATTTGTTTTTGTTCATGCACAATGGAATCGGCAGTAGAGATAAATAAAATTTACCTTGCGCAGCATTTCTCCTAGATACAGCAGTAGTGTCTGCATCAGGCTTCTTGACATCTTACAGTGTAACTAACTAAATAATTAACTTACAATGAATTTCCTTAACAAACCATCTGAGCAGGTAGTTACTGGAAGTTTACATCAGGATTCACGATGCTTTTTAATACGGATCAACTCAAATGTACCAGACTGTAATGTTCAGAAAGGCAAGGTTATGTGTGTATACTATATTATCTGCATCTATACTTGCATTTTAGCTTTCGGAACAAAAATAAATGGACATTTTGGTGGCTAACTGAACAGAATTAATAATATATGTGGCTATAATGAGAAAACTTTTATTGTCCTGGAGGAACTTGTTAAGTAAAACTTTTCTGATTTGGATCATTAAAGAAACACATATTTTAATAAAATAAAACAAGGTTTAGACTTGAGCATGGTTATGATGGTGACACAGATGTACTGGCATAGCAAATTTCAAAGCAGACAATCAGTATCAGAGGTCCAAACATTAAGTTTCTTTTTCTTTCTTAATTTCAGCATAGGGTAACAGTGGACCAAGTCATTTTGGCGAATTGATGAAAAAAATGTCAGATGGCTATTTCCTGTGGTGACAGATGACTGGATAGGAGCTAAACACAGTTCTGTTCTACCTTAGTCACAATAATTCAATCTATTTGTTGAGCACGCAAACATTTAGGTCATCGTCGCGTTATGCTGGGGATGGTTGCCATGGATATATCATCCACATATACTTGGCTAGTCTGTGTGAGACGGTTATCACACAGATATTGGAAGCATTCACTAACATATACTAATGCCCGAAAAGAAATCGTCAACCAGAGATTTTCTGAATCACGAAAGATGCCATGAATGAATCACAAATAAAAAAAACTGACAAATTGAAGATTGATAGAAAGGTCCAACTTTGACCTTTCACATCTAAGCAAATGTCTTACCATCTAAAGCAGAAGTTCCAGAATTTTTGTTCTCCTCTGCTAGCATTACCTCTTCTGCATAAATAAAGAGTAAAAAAAAGTGATATTACATTGTTCATTCTGAGAAAGGACAGTAAATAAAAATCATACTGAAAATCTTACTGAATGACAATGACAGTACAAAATTATCTGCATATTTTATGAATTCATTCTAATCATTACCTCTGCACATATAGTTAACATATAATTTCACAATAACTTTTGCTGATAACTTGATGGTGTACACACAAGGACTCGTATTAGGCTGTGTACTAAAAACAGAAAATTCACTCTTTAGACAACATGTATACATCTTTAGATGTTCAGTCCAGAATGGCGCTCACAGTCTAGAGCATGCCTATGTTGAAGTACAGTACATACTAATCAGAATGCAGCTAGAATCTCTGTGAGATTTGTGTAGGGCCCCAGCAAGCGTGGTCTCAGCTGGTAGCTTATCGATTCTGGTGATTCACCTCTCGAATTAGTGAATCAGCCTCACCTTTCTGTAACCCTTACTGAGTGGGAGTGCCTGTTAGTATAGCTTTGCCATTTGAACAAAAATGAGTTATTCATCTATCGAAATATTCACCTGCTTGTTTTGGATGACAATGTCTCGGAACAATGCACACTTACTGAAAAGTGATTAAATACTTATTGTCTTACAGAACTGTTCTAGACAAATTTTCCAACAATGTCCCAGATCTATTGTTCTATAAAGAATAATGAAAAGTGACACAATAAGGAATTACAGAATGACATATCCATTTTCTCTTGTTCATATTTTAATTAGTATCTTGTGTAACTAAAACTGAGAGTTGCTATAGTTGCTTTCTTGCATACATGAAGATGATGGGGGGATGACAGGTGATACTCGGTAACTCCAGCTCATTGTAGCTATCTTGCTGTAGTAAGGGGTCAGTGGAGCCGAAGGTGGCAGCACACGTTAGATACACATCACCTGCACGGTCGATCCAAGCACGGTAACCATTCAGCTCCCTCTCCACTTGCTGTTGTCTGCGGAGCTTCATAAAGGCCCTGCGATTCTCCACTCTTTCCCTCTCTTTGGCAAATTCTCTGCAAACACAAGATTGCATTCACTTCTAGAAGACACAGAAAACTACAGTACATAGCTAGACAGATATATACTCCCATAAATGAAATGTATAATTAAGTCTTTTCCTCCATTGCTAATTATTGTGATTAAGCAGTTAGAGCAAACTAGAAGGACTGAAAATGGGAATATTTAGACATGTTTGGCATTCTGTAGGGTTAATAAAATCCAGGTAGTCAATGGATTCATGTTTAAGGGGCTGTAGTGCAACAATTATTACTCACCCTGACAGGACTCCCAAAACCAGATTCAGCACAAAGAATGAGCCAATTATTATGAGAGGAATAAAATAAATCCAATTCCATGTGGGGCCAAGGGCATCGTTTGTCTGTGAAAAATGTAAAGAAGATTAAATATAAAGAAACACTGTATTATAGCTTGCTGCTGTCATATTCAGTTATTCTCTGAAGATCTTATAGAAGCATAGTGGTCTTGACGCCCAGGTCAAATCAACACAAACACTACTCTGTGCCTTTGAGAAACCTTGAACCTGAACCTGAAGCATCACCAGCAGGTCACATCTATACAACCATGTTAATAATAAATAGACATTTTTTTTATTTCATTTTTCTTTAATAAATAAACACTAGACATTGTGATTTGTGCTCTGTTTTGGTAGATTATCACACACTTATATGCCTTCACCAACTTCAGTTTTATTTTCACTTTTTTTTTTCTAAAATCCTATTATTGAAATTAAAAAGGAAAGTTTTATTGTGGTTGTTTATCGATAGCTGTTCATTACTGAATTATCAGATAATATACAGAAAAAGACTCCAAAGAACATATCCCTAGCTGCATTTACTCTTCTTTCCAACTGTATCATTCAAGGATGCAGGCTGTCTGAACTGAATAACCAATCAGAAGCTGCCAGCTCTGTCTTCTTTTATATTTCTTATGATGAAACGAAACAGGTTTTCCTGCATTAACATGATACTTCCTGACACATAATGCTAATTAATCCTACCTACACTTTCTCAATGACTGTGTCTATAAATCTTCCCCTTTATTTATATTCATAAACTTTTATGAACTTTATAAAGATGTCCATAAGTTTCCTCAGTGTCATGCCTTACACCCCTACCTAGTGGTAGTGATGTGACTTTGAGGGTTTTGAGGGTCAATTTCTATGAATGAAATATTGCTGGTTTGCATCCCATGACCACCAAAGTGACACCACTGTTGGGTCCATGTGGATGAATAGGGTGACCAGATAATCCATGCCAAATAGGACATTTTGAGCTACTTCACGTTTTACGAACTGCTTTAAATTTGAAAGGTTCCTGTGCTTGGCTAAATAGTTCAGTTCTTCTTGTGCTCTGACTGATTTGTTTCCTTAATTGAAAGACTCATCCAGCTGTTTCATATTAACATTAGTGACACATGCATGATTACATGAGGCTGACCAATGGGCACGCAGCAAGAACTCAGTGCTTAAGTGAAATCCAGGACCTTTTAATTGAAATGATAACATACAAATCCTGTCATACCTCAAAGTGTGTGTATGTGTGTCCCCGATACAGATTATCTGGTCACCCTAAGCATGACCTTTAACCTCAACTATTCTAGGGACAGGCTGACCTTGCTTGCTGTGGCTTTGGATAAAAGTGTCTGCTAAAAAAATAGATAATATATCTAAATAAATGTAAGGGAAAGGATAAGAACATAAGAAGAACATGAGAAATTTACAAACGAGAGGAGGCCATTCG